TTGTGCTCTTTATGGGCTATTGTCCTATCCACTCTACAAGTAGTGCTTACTGATTGTTTTTTATTTTTAATCAAATGCACCACATCTGAAAACACCACTGGGCCTTGCATACAACTTGCCTAAGAGAACTGGTACCACACATAGAAACTTTCAATCTCAGTTTATTAAAACAGGACAGCCTACTTCTGTCAACTCTGTGGGATGAGCCTTCTGCTGTGCCTCCAATTGTATAAACTCAGAGGAATCTTTAATGTATGCTTGATGTCTCCAGCTCTCTGAGGTTCTCTTCTGAGGAAGCCAGTGCAGGGCATTCATCCAGGCACAAAGGAGGGAGTATGGTTCCAGAGGAAGCCACTGTTACAGGCATCTGATTCATAATCGAGTCTTTTCTCAGATGCAGTCAAAAGTTCTGACGTTTTAATATTGTTACAGGTCGGTACTATCCTTTATGATCAAGGAAATTATCCCATTAATAATGAGGATCCCCATAAATTCCAAGGGTAATGGCACTTTAACATGCATACCATTTTCTCAGAATTTATTTTTTCTTGTCCTTAACTTAGGACCACAGTGATACAGGTATTTATCATTTCCTTATTTAATCACTTCCAACTTAATTGATGGGTGATGCAAAACTCGGTATGTGTATTTATTATAGTGAGAATGACTCAGAATATTTCACTGTCCTTTCCACTGGCATTAATTGATTGAAATAACCTTGAACAGGAATCAGTTTCATTACAGTCTGATGATTCAGTTTGCATGACATTTAATTCTCTACTTAAAAGAAGCCTTCAGAGCCATATGTTCTAGAAGGCACACTTAGCCATCCTTTAATATTACTGTGTCTTCTTCATTTTTAAAATATTTTTCTGCGACTTTTAGGTAGTATTTCACTTGCTTTTTCATTTCACACATCTTTCTCCACCGACAGAGGGGCTGGAGATCCAAACCATCTAAAGGAGTTCCTTGCAGCTCAGTGCTAATGAAACTTACTTCATTGGTTTGCCCTCTTATAGAATCTTGGAAATAAAATAGCCATGTTCCAAATTCACTGACTGCAGATATGACACAGGTAATCCTTGGCTATGGCAGCTGGTGATGCAGTGAAAACTCTCCACCTTCACCTGAAGACCACGGTGAAGATCCATGCTGGATCTAGGATCCATTTTGTACAGAGTAGACCCCTCAAAAGAGGAGTGATGCCCCCATTATAGGGTAAGATGCCTCCTCAAAATGATAGTTAAAATCTCTTTTGTAAGGCAGAAAGGCATTTGTTAGAGACTTAAAGATAAAATTAAGTGGTGTGTTTCTTCAGAAGTACAGTGATCAAGTCATCTCAAAGGTCCACCAATTTAGACATTTAAACAGTCGTAGGGCTCAGAGGCACAGATCCATCACAGGGAAGCAGTTCAAAGCATAGTTCAGGAGAATATTTTAATTAAAGTGGTGGTTAGCATTTTTATTGATACCCCTAAAAGCACAGTCCGTCTACTGAAAAGTAACTTGTCTTGGAAGTACAGTCTCATAAAGTGCTAATAAAAGTGTAAAAATCTGTTTGACGGGGGCTGGGGATTTAGCTCAGTGGCTTAAGCACCTGCTTGGCAAGCGCGAGGTCATGAGTTTAATCCCTGGCACCAAAAAAAAATCTATAAAGAAAAATCTGTTTGATGTTGTCAACTAATCATTAAGTTGATTTGCATACTTCTGTATTCCCAGGGATAAATCCACTGAAAATGTCTATGTATCCTCACTTGGAAAGAAAGAAGAATATTCCATGTTAACACAACAACATCGCAATCCCCAATACCTCATAACCACTAACAGGTCCTTTAGACATAGGAAGGCATATTTATAAAATGTGATCCTTTAAACAATGAAAACTACATGCAAGTAGTTTAAGAAACCGGCAAAATGTCCCATATGCTGACATTCCATCAAAGAAAGAACCAGACACAAGTTATGTTTGCATACAACTGTAAATATCTAAAACTGCCCTACATTATTGAATGCTGAATGCTTATTAGACAAAGCTCAGGAAAAATGCTGGTGAACACTTTTTGTTTAATTATACAAATACATAAAAGTCAGATCGGTGGTAATCTTTGTGAGAGGACAAGGCAGGGATGTAAAAGAGACAACGAAGGATTCTGAGATATAGATAATAGTCCATTTTCCTAAATTTGGTTGTGTCCATATAACACTCACTTGATGCTTTTTCACTAAGCTGGATTTTTTTAACTTGGAAATTTCATAGATGTGTGATATATTTCTGGTACCCAAAGTTGGATAGTCTATATTTTTTTTCAAAAATGACTCAAAACCGAAAACTGGCTTATGAATGGTTTACATGCAAATGGGGAATATAAAAGTAAGTAAACAAGCAGGACATGTTGGTGCATAGCTATCATCATTTTGCAAGTCTGAAGCAGGAGGTTCTAGTCCAAGCTGGTCAACTTAGTGACTTAGGATGACCCTGCCTCAAAATAAAATAAAGACAGAGGATGCAGCTCAGTCTTAAAACTTAGATTCAGTCCCCAATGCTGGCATAAAGCAAAAACATACTTCATAGAGGGAAAGGTTACTAATTAAAATTTGCTTTCTCTTTTATGCTATTTAATTGGCATTCCAGTATTTCAAATTAACCCTAAATGTATGTGTGTGTATATACATATGTGTGTGCATGTAAAGAGAACTAGGTACTCTGAAACCCAAATAATTTCTACTGCACTGCCAAACATGAAATTAGGAACTCTGTACTAACCCCACTATGTGACAACAATCCCTGTGACCTGCTTTGAAACAGTCAGATAAACATTTCACAAAAAACTTTCCCATGAAGTAATTTTCATGCATATGTTATTTAAACTGAGACGGAGTTGGGATGATTTGGTTTTGTCAGTGAAACCTGCTAAACTTTGCCGGTGTCCCCCATCTAGAGTTGATATGTATTGCGTTTCTTGGGTGTTTTTTTTTTTTTTTTACTTTTATTCATTGAAAAGTTTTTATAGCTCAAAATAGAAAAAGCAATACCTTAGAAACTTAGAGCTAGCCCGGCAGGATGTTTCCTAGGATAAGGGCAAGGTCTGAGGTACACCCTCCTGATAGCCACTGCACCCTCACCTCCCTCTGGCTATCAGCCACATCTGTCCATGTTTATGCTTTGGCTTTGCTTCCTCAGGGGCAGCTGGTCCATCTGTATGCCTGGCCTCTCTATCTCAGCATCTCTTATTGACTTTTCCTAATCTTATTATTTCTGTTGATATTTGCTCTGCATCTCATGCCTGCTTTCCCAGCAATATTCATTGACATTTGTCCCTGAGGAATCTTTACATCATCAGCTTAAACAAATGAAATTAGGGTATCTGGGTGGTCAGGTCTAGACTCTGATCCAACAAAAGAGCAAATGTCTCCTTGGAGGACGCAGGAAAAGTTTGAACTGAGATTGACATCAAAAGATAAGCCTCCTGGAAAAAATTCAAGACCCATTTGGGGGGCTGGGGATTCAGCTCAGTGACATAAGTGCTTGCCTGGCAAGGTTGAGAGTTCCATTCCTGGTACCAAAAAAAGAAAAAGACCCATTTTGTTGCTGTTGTTGTTTTGTTTTGTGTAAACGTTTCTAGCTTAAATTTTGAGAGAAATCATAAAACAAAAATTTATCTTGTAATACAATCAGAAATGTAAGTTTTATCTTTTGTTTTGTTTTTGTCTTGTTTCGTTTTGTTTTTAAAAAGACATGGAAGAAATACTGTAATCTCTGGGTTCAAACAGAATGGGAATGGGTTGCAAACTTCTCTATTTAATAGGAGTATTGTCTAGCATTCCAAGTCCTACTGCATTTATATATGAAGCAGAAGTAGTCATCTTTGTGGGTTTATCTTATGAGTTAAATAAGATTTTAGATGCAAAATATATCTTTTGACATAATTCACACTGATCACTTGTTTCTAAGAGACTACTTTTTGCCATCAACTGTTATTATTGCCTCTACAGCCTCAGTCTTTGACACATTCCCCCTCTGTTTCTGGTCTTACATCACCATGTCCCCACAAGAAAATAAATCATAGGAATTTCCAGTTTCTTTGCCCAGAGTTCAGAAAAGATGTTGGCTTCCCAAGAGTCTCCATAAATTAATAGGAGAGGGAGAGGAAAGAAGTCAGGGATGGAAGTAAGGTTGGGAGGATGAAGGGTGTTAAAACTGGAAGATAGGTAGATACACAGACAGCAAAAATGATGCAGTTCGAGTCCATATCAGGAGGCTGAAAGGTCTGCAGTGGAAGCCAGGGATGGACTTGAAGGCAAAGGCAAAGACTGCAGCTCCTCTAAGGAAACAGCAAGGAGACTTCCTCTCTCCCCTTTTTATACCATTCTATTCCAGCACTATCGGCTGGTGTCACCCATACCCAACGTGGGTCTTCTGTCTTCAATGATACATCCAGCCACCCCCAGAGCTATGCTACTACAAAAGGTTGGGTGTTTCTTACTCAAGTTAACACATCGGTAGGTTAGTTATCACAACTACGGTCCACATTCCAAGTAGTAGCTCGTGAAAGGACTTTGCCCTAAATGGGAGGCTGCAGCAGTGGGAGGCTAGAAGGCGGGACCAAGGGGCTCTATCTTGAGGTCATCTCCTCCCCTAGGCAATTTACCTGTGGCACGAAATGAATTCCAATGGGCTGCTTGTGCATCAGTAATGCCCCTTAGGCACTGCCCCAAACCTAAGCTATATATATATATATACTCCATACCATGTGTCTGGCAGAGAGAAAAGCCAGACCTCAGTGGTCATGAGTGTTATACTAAGATGCTAAAAATTAAAATAATTGATCAAAAGATAATTAACAAAAGTAGTTACTTAAAAAGATAGTTATTAATAATATTGTCATTCTGTACTGAGCTCATTACCCTAATAACCAAGCACCAACCACATAGTTAACTGACCACGTTGTTCTGCTGTTCTGTAATGTGTCACCTCCCCCCCTTAGTGCCCTGTGTGCTATATCAACTTTTGTTCCCCTTGTAAGAGACAAATGATGCTGTGTCAACCATTGTTCCCTTTATGAGAGACAAATGTTCTTGGAATTGGCAGACCAAAGGCTATGAATTGGCTAACCACCCACTGTGAAATGCCTCTTACCTCAAGCAAAGGGGAACAAGGCCCACCTTATTTCTGTTTCTCATCACTATGTACTTAATGATCAATGAGCTAATCATAAATGAACTATAAAAATCAGTCAAAACTCTAACTCAGTTGCACAGCTTTGCAATTCCATCTGTACTGTGTCGCTGGGCCAGCTAAAATAAAAGCGCTTCTTTTAAAAAAGACATCTTGCCCCGTTTGTCATCTTGGGGTCTTGCCCCATTTTTCAGCATGGGGCCCTGTTTTTTGAGTAGAGTACAACAATGGGATTCTCTCTCTGCATTCTTAAAATAAAGGCCACTTTTATTTCATATTTCTATCTTTTTAGCCATGCCAAAAATTCTATCAGCTCATAATGTTTGTGAATTCATAAAATGCTTCTAAGTGATTACACTATCTCTCCCCACCACACACACACAGCGTTATTGCTCTTATATTTCAAATGGATAAAGTCTTAGGAAACATATATGAACCCCACTTCCCCACTCCCCCAAATTCAAATAATTTGAATCAAGAGATCACCATCAAGGTATTCACTCTTCTGTATATTGACCAGCCAATAAATAACAAATTCATATAGATGCTTAGGTCTGCATGAGCCTGTGGAGCTATGTGGTGAGCCAGAAAGACAGATTTCACCTTCCTGGATTCTAACAAGAGCAACAGGCTGTGAGCACATAACTGAGAAGGTATAGAAAATCCATCATCGTCCTTGTATGAAAAACACTGATTCCTGTTCAGAGATGGAAGCACAGAGACATTTTTGTCCCAGCATAATTACAAACAGACCACACGCTGCCTTCAGTTGGTAAAGAGGGAGCGTCCCAGGGGTCTCAGAGCAGAGGGCACCCAAGTAAGGTAAAGCGATGCCCAACTTGTGCTGGGCCTGAAGGGGAAGCAGAGCTGGAATCCAGCTGGTGTATAAGTCATGGTCCTCAATTTTTCCATGACGGTGTACAATTTGCCTGGGAGTTGAGCTCCAATGGCTTTGGGCAGCACTCTCAAGCTCTCTGTTCCTCAGTTCCTTAATCTGTAAAATAGAAGTAGCAGTGTGTAAGCCATAAAATGCATATTTATATAATTATATTTCAAATTATACACAGGCACATGTGTTTTTGTTCACAGTTTTAATGAAATTGGCCGGTTTCCTAGACATATCCTGCCTCTCTTCCCTCATCAAAGATTATTCTCTATAAAGTATTTTTAGTAAAAATATCAACTGATAATTACATTTAGCAAAATATGTTCCACTCCAAATTTGTTAAAACAAATTCTATTTGAATTTTTTTGGTTAATTCTAGTGCTATAAATAAAGCATGGGCAAGGTAGCAAGAAAAAAAAAACAGACTGAATACTTAAAATTAAAATTTGAGAGGGTTCTAGCATGTCTCTTCTTTCCATTTGATTAAAAACCAATAACATAGTTTAGACATTTTGAAATGCAAATTGTAAAAATAAAGATTAACATACATTTCTTTCAATTCATTTCTCCCATAGCAAAATATATCTCTAATTGGGCACTGTTTTTGCACTTTGTACATGACAAAGACATAACTCATTGCTATTTTCATTATCCAGAAATAATCCACTAAAATGATAAAGATTGTAAGATGTTTATATCACATACCCTCTAGCAAAGCTCTTAAAATAGGCCTGCTTATCTCCAAAATTCTCTAGTCCCCAGAGGACTATCTAGAGGATTAATCTCCTTCTCTTTATCCTATGCAGCTCCTCCCCAACCACATCTCAGCCCCCATTTCTTTTCTCCTGTTCTCAGAACTTCAATCCTTTCCTCAGTTTATTATGCACAAGGAACAATACTCAGTGTTAAGAATCATTTCTCCCTAAATTACCACGTGATAATGGTAGTGAGACATGTGTGTGTGTGTGTGTGTGTGTGTGTGTGTGTGTGTGTGTGTGTACAGTGGAGGAGGTTACTCTCTGTTTTAATGGAACTTATAATGTGAACCAGACAATGGAAGGGCAAACATTCCCTTCTAAGAAATGTCTAAGAAAACATTTTGCATCTCTACTTCAGCTTAAGTTTTTGACTTCTATTCCATAACTAATATTTACAGAATTTTAGCTCCTTGTATCCACTACGTTGAAGAAATAGGAAAGTATACCACTTGGACACTGAAATTTTTTCAGCTCAGCAGAGACCGTTCTTCTCTATCTTGTGTCCGGGCTCCTGACTAAAAATAATCTGTTTTCCCTATATCTGCATTGTCTCAGCTGCTTATTGGCTGCATTATATTGCTTTGACAACACAAAGCTATAGCAGAAATTCTCGCAGGGTTCAGGATTATTGCTACAATACATATTTCAAATTATTGTTACTAATGGCCTCTAGGGAAGACCGTGAACTGACTGGCAGCTGAGCACCCTCCTGACTGCACTCTGATGATTAGAGGACCTCACACATCCTATAGGACTTCCCTTCCTAAACCAGAGAGGGGTTTGTCATGCTGATTTTCCAACCTCCTGCTCCCTCTTTCCCTAAGAAACAGATGCAAGCTGGGCACCTGTAACCCCAGCACTTAGGAGGCTGCGGCATAAGTATCACTGCAAGTTCAAGACCAGCCTGGGCTACAAAGTGAGCTCAAGGTCAGCCTGAACTGCAATAGTGAGACATTGTCTCAAAAAGTCAAAAAAGAAAAAAATGGAATAATCAATGTTTAATGTGTTTGAATTTTGGTTTTACCTCACATTTGGAATTCAGATATTTTGCCTTCTGAGGTCACTTCTGTCCCTCTGAGTCTTGCTCAGTGTGATAGTGGCAGAACAGAAATTTATTCTCATACAACAGGATTTCACCAAGAGGACATTATCAGCCTAATGGAAAAGTCCTATCTGGCATGGGTAATCCATCTTCATGAAGAATCACAGAAGCGTGTCATACTGCATAACATTTCACTTCTAAAACTTCTGACACCAGGAGAAGACACAGTTTATCAGAACATTAGTAGACTGAATCTGTAATATTGGATTTGACTAAATTCTCTAAATTGTCTTCTGAAAACAAAATAAAATAATGTGAGTTGGGATTCATATGTTTCAAAACTGGGAAGACCAACCCATTAGTCGGTTTTCATTTTAGCAAAAGTTATTCCTGGGGCACACTGTTTCTGTGTTATTCACAGTAAACATTTTAAGTCCTTTACAGGAAAGACATTCTGTGAGGCAGTTTTGGAGAAAAAATTGAAAAAGAAGAATTGAAAACAAAACATAGTCATTTCCAACCTAACAAGCAGAAAAAACCTGAATAATATATAATCTCATAAATTTTCTTGAAGTCTTAGGAGAGTTGAAGTCACAAAACTAAGAAAATTGAATTCTAAAAGAAATAAGCACCTCCAAGATAATGCTTGTTACTCATAGGCTGTTTTGTATTTCTTGGAGCATCAGGGAGGAATGAGACAGTTTATGTAGCAGGAAAGATACAGACACAATGGCATATTCCCATCAAACCAGTAACCAGGGATGCTAAGTCAGGAGAGACCTGGAGTCCGAGGAGAGCCTGGGCTCCATAGTAAGTGCAAAGACTATGTAGCAAAACCAGAAACAAACAAACACACACACACACACACATACACACAGTGAGAGAGAGACAGAGAGACAGAGAGAGACAGAGACAGAGAAACATAGAGAGCAACTAAAATTTCAGCAGACCACATGGGGCTACTGTGACCCTGGAGAAAAACTTAATCCAGAGTTTATATAAAGGATGAAAGAACTGCCATTTAGGGCAGGGCTGCTAAGGATGCTAGGAACCAGGACCAGGACAACAGAGCACAGCACCTTGTCCTGTTAGGAGTCAGGTACTGACTGGCAGGAAGAGGCAAAGCCTGGGACAGAGGAGCTCCTCCATGGCAGGGATGGTGGGAGACTGAAGGGAGATCACACACAGAGGAGGACCTCTCAGTCCCCAGCTTGAACATAAAGTACAGGGAATGTTGTCAGTGTGTCCTGTGTCACTGACAACCACAGAGCAGTTACAGAACAGCAACTGAGTCAAGCCAACTGCACAGTTCAAGACTCACAAAGAAGCCTAAGGAAAGAGGAGACTTTTCCATTCAAAATGTAAAGACTGAGCACTGCAATGTCCACTACTCACCAATGTCCACTACTCATCAAGGATTACATAAAAAGAAGAGTGTGGGTCCACACTCTGTGCTTCCTCCGTTGTCCTCGGGATGATGGTGCCTGCAAGCGGAACATAAGGACACATGCCTTTGGCAGGTGGACACTCCGGAAACCCAAGACCCAGGACAACAGCTGGCCAGAGCACACTGGTGCACACAAGCCTTTGGAGGGTAGAGTAAGCAAGACCAGCAATGTGGAAGTGTCTGAAGCAGCAGCGAGGAGCCAGCACTTGGACTCTGGAGAACTCCACCAACAGGAGGTCAGTCCCAGTCCCACATCCAGAGACCAAGATCAACTCCCACCCAGTACATTTCTGGGATCTAACATGTTCACTATCACAGAACTGTACATACCAGAGTATTTTACTACTTTTGTTCCCCCTTGTTTGTCTGATTGACTACTCTTTCCTGTCTGGTTGGATGTCATCTTGTTTTATTCCGTTTTGTATTATATGGTTATTTTTGTATTTGGGATTTTTTTTCTCCCTCTTCACTGTCTCTGATCTCTTTTTCCTTTCTTCTCTTTTCTTTTGGTTGTCTTTCTTCCTTTTTTTCTTGCTGTTTAGATTTCTTTCTTTTCTCTTTTAATTTCCTTCTACTGATCCTTTTTCTCTCTTTCCTCAACTACTTGCTGACTTTAAGCTTTCAAGTGAATAATCGTTGTCTCTGTCCTTTCTGAATATTCCTCCACATTCTGTTCGATTCTTTCCTTCCTGTGTCCTCCAGTTTCCCAAATCTGGGTGATCACCTTTTGACTGCCAGCCTTCACTCTCCTTTATTTGAACTCATTCATCATTTTAGCCTGTCCCATACACACCTTAACTCCCCTGGCCCCACAGAAGGGTAAAATCACTCCACTAAGGGGAAAATCGCTGCACGCAAGTGTATGGCATATGTCAAATTTTATTATATAAACAGAGTTTGCTCCTGTGATCACAGATAACAGGTCAATGGTTTGTCACTAGTTAAGCTATACTTGAAACTATTGCTATCACTAACTGTACTACTTTAGCCAAGATGTCATACATGTCACAAACGGTTTTTCTTCCCTGTATGATAATATTCTGATTGTATGGGGTCATAATCATCACCACACCCCAGTACCAAAGGACTGGGAGCTGAGTCAAATAGTAATTTTGCATCCTTTACAAATTGGGAAGATAGGTTCTTGAGATAGCTATTAAAAAAAAAAAAACCTACATCTAGAGGGCTTCTCACACAGCCAGGAGTGGTATCTCACACTTGTAATTCCAACACTCAGAAGGCTGAGACAAAAAGACTGCTGTTAGTTTGAGGCCAGCCAGTGACACAAAGTGAGCTGAAGGCCAGCCTGAACTGCATAATGGGACCCTGTCTCAAAAAGACAAAATATAAAATGAAATAAAGGATATCTCTGAAGAACAGACATCTAGGAAGACCCCAATGCCAGTGATAAAGCTATATATCACAAGAAATCAGCAAGTATCAACACAGAAACAAAATAAAATTAAAAAGAGAAAATATAAAATGACAAGACATAAAACACAATTCCAGATCCCCAGCCCACACAGAATCAGCCCAGAACTGAGTGAGATAGACGAAATTGAAGTCAAACACTGGAACTTTCTGAATTTATAGAAACAGAAGTAGAAAAAAAAGAAATTGAAAAGGCTATTCAGAAAATAATCTTTCAGTCTATGGCCATACCACCCTGAACGCACTCGATCTCATCTGTCAAAAAATAATCTTTCAGATACAAAAAGACATGATGCTTACAATCAAAGATATGAGCCAGGGATTTACCTCAGTGGTAATAAGCACCTGCCCGGCAAGCACAAGGTTGTGAATTCAGTCATTGGTACCAAAACAAACAAAAAAATCAATAATACTATAAACTAAAATCACAGATATTAGAGAAGACACAAATAAAAGAATAGATGAGTTTAGAAAAATGATGGAAACAAAAAATATTGAACAAAGGAAAGAAATAGAATCCATGAAACCGATTCAAACTGAAATCCAAGAGATTAAAACGTTCATACAATCAGAAACGTTCATTGAAAGTATATGCAACAGATTGAATGAAGGAGAGGATAAAATTTCAGGTCTTAAAGACAGAATTGCAACTAGTGATCATGAAAATAAATATGTCTTAAAAATAGGAAGAGCCCATGAAAATCAATCCAACAACTACAGGAAGAAGCAAAAAAGAACAAAATAGGATTATTAGAGATCAATGAAAAAGCTACACCAAGATATATAATAATCAAGATTCCAGAAATTCAGCACAAAAACAGAATATTAAAGTTGGTAGAGGAATGAAACAGGTTACTTATAAAGGAAAGCTGGTCAGAATCATGGCAGATTTCTCAACGCAAACCCTCAAGTCAAGAAAAGCTTGGAATGAAATATTTCATGCCCTAACAGGAAACAATTTCCAACTCAGATTGATGTACCCTGCAAAACTGTCTTTCAAAATTAATAGAAAATCAAGGTACTTCCATGTCAAACAACTGAAAATATTCATGAATACCAAATCTACCATACAAAGTATACTAAAAGATATTCTAGATAGAGATAAAGATGATCACAATTCTAAAAACAACTGAACGAAACCACCAGGCAGGGCAGCCAATTAAACAGGGAAAAAGCAGGGAACCAATAGCAGGAAAATAACATGATAAAGATAAGCCAATATATATCCGTTATAATCATCAATGTAAATGGCATCAACTCACCAATAAAATGAAACATATTGGCAGAATGAATCAATAAACAAGACCCAACAATATGCTATATACAAGAAAAACATTTAACTCAAAAAGAAATTCATAGACTGAAAATCAGAAGATGGAAAACAATACTCCAAAGAAACAGGAACTCAGAAAAAAAGCAGGAGCTATTCTGTTTGCAGTCAGTGTGGACAGGAAACCAAGAATAATCAAAAAAGATAAATCAGGTAATTACATACTTGTTAGAGGAAAACTTAAAGAGAAAGAGATAATATCATAAATATATATGCACCAAAAATGGGAGCATCCAACTATAGCTGACAATTATTAATAGACATGAAAAATCAAATAACAACATAATTGTAATGAGAGACCTTAATACCCCATTGTCACAAAGAGATAGATCAACTCGACAAAATAGCAGCAAGGAAGTATCAGAACTGAACCAAAACTGTGAATAAGTGGACTAAGTAGATGTTTTCAGAGTGTTCCACCCAACATCATCAGAATACAAATTCTTCTTGGCTGCACATGAGTATAGACCATATACTAGCCCATGAAACATGATTAAGTAAATGCAAAGGAATTGAAATTATCCTATGCATATTATCTAACCATAGTGCAATGAAAATGGAAATTAATGATGAAATAAAAACTCAGTATACACATGGAAATTAAATAACACCCTTCTAAATGAGCAGTAAGTCACAGATGAAATAAAGGAAAAAACTTAAACAATATCTATAACTAAATGAGAATGCAGATATAAGAACTTATGGGATTTGATCAAAGCAGTCCTAAGAGAAAAAAATTACAGTAGTGAATTGTCATATCAGAAAAACAGAACAAGCACAAATAAACTGCCCAATGTTCCATCAAAAGCTTCTGAAAAAGAAGAGCAAGCCAAACACAAAGCCTATATGAGGGAGGAAATTATAAAGATCAGATCAAACATTAACACAGTGGAGACGAAAAAAACATGAGAAACACTGAATTGAAGAGTTGGTTCTATGAAAGAATAAATAAAATTGATAAATCATTAGCTGATCCTTCCTAAAAAGTAAAGACTCAATTTACACATGGAGAAATGATAAGATCCTGTATAAATTCAGAAGATCATCAATATCTACTTTGAAAATATTTACTCTCCGCAAATAGAAAACACAAAAGGACAGCTTCCTATGTATGTATGAATTGCCAACACTAAATCAGGAAGATATAAAAATTCTGAACAACCCAATGTCAGTTAATGAGATCGAAAACATAATTAAAAATTTACCAACAAGAAAACATGGAAAGCAATAATTTCTAACTCATTCTTGGAGGCAAGCATTACCCTGATACCAAAACCAGAGAAAGACCCAATCAAAAAAGAGAACAATAGGCCAATCTCCATAATGAACATAAATGCAAAAATCCTCCATAAAATCCTACCAAGCAGAATACAACAAATCATTGAGAAGATTATAAACAGTGACCAAGTGGAATTCATCCTATGAATGCAGGAGTGGCTCGACATATGCAAATCAATAAATGTAATGCGTCGTATCAGTAGAACTAAAGACAAAAGTCACATGATCATCTCAGTAGACAGAAAAATCTTTTTATGAAGTCCAGCATTCAATAATAACTTAAAAAACTGGAATAGATGCTCTTTACCTCAATTTGAAAAAAACCATCTATGACAAACCAACAGCCAACATCATATTAAACATATAAAAACTGAAAGCTTTCACTCTGACACCAGAAACAAGACAAGGATGTCCACTATCACCACTCCTATTCAATATAGTTCTGGAACCACTAGCCAGAGTAATTAAACAAGAGAGACATAAAAGGAATAAAGATAAGAAAGGAAGAGGTTAAACTATCATTACTTGCAGATGAGATGATACTACACATAGAAGACCTCAAAAACTCCACCAAAAGATTCCTAGAGTTCGTAACCAAATTCAGTAGCATAGCTGTATACAAAAATCAATAGTACTCTTGTACACAAACAACAAACTCAAGAGAAATTAGGGAAACCACACCCTTCACAATAGTATCCCCTGAAATTGAAATACTTAAGAGTCAATCTAACAAAAGAAGTGAAGCATCTATACATTGATAATAACAGCAAAAGAGATCAAAGAAGACATCAGAAAATGGAAAGATATTCCTTGCGGATGGATAGAAAGAACCAACATAACGAAAATGGCCATTCTCCCAAAGTTGTTATATAGATTTAATGCAATTTTGATCAAAATATCATTAGCATACCCCACTCCCAAAATTCATCTGTAAGCAAAAGAGAGCTAGAATACAAAAGATAATGCCTGGTAACAAAAACAAAGCACAAAGCATTTTA